TTGCTCTGTCTTGCCTGATACCTAAAGTATAGGTTAAATGATATTATATCCAATTATATTAATAGCTTCATAAGATAATCATTCACAGAAAATACCTAACACCGAAAAAATAGAATGTTGAAAACAGACTGAGCTATCATGTTTTATCTTATAAAAAGAAACAAAAAAACAACGGTGTTGTTCTTAAAATACCGAATCTGTTTTTAATAAATAAAAAATGTGAATTTTCTTTTTCGAATATTTAATAAGCATTTCATTTAATACCATCATGTGCACATGATATTAATATCTAAAGCTAAAATAGATTCGGTAATGATTAGCTTTAGTGTTCCAGCAGTTGCTAATGACGTCAGAAGATAAATTTATTACTATTGTATTAATGAACACATATTCAAGAGAACTACATCTTGCGTACGGAATATAAGCCTACATCTGGTATATGGAATTTAGGCCTACATCTGGTATATGGAACATTATTCTATTATTTTGATACGAGAAAATTATTTCTCGAAATATAATGACCATGTTTTTTTGTTTGTTTTTTTAATGTATCTCATACTCGAAAATAGTAACTTGAAAATTACACTGTTTTCAATTCGTACGTAAAGACATCTTAGATTTTAATAAAGTTTAATAAAAGTGCTGAATTTTATAGAGGGCTCTGAAACATCATCTTACAATATTAAAAAAAAAGATGAATTAATTGTGGGTTCTTCTTTTTATCTAATCAGCGATCAATGATTTCTAACTGTTCTCTGATAAAATTGTTTGCTTTATTACAGACCAATTAAGTTATGCACAGTTAGAAGTTAAGATAATCGATTCTTAAAGCTAGTACTATTATCTTGATAACCAATATCTGTTTTACAATATTAATATCTAAGATTGTTCAAAAGCAGAATTAAAACAGTAACAAAATAACGACAATGAAAATAAGAATAGAAAGTACTGACAAGCTATATCAGTTAACTTGTTCAAATAAATTAGGACTAATTTAGTGCAGCAGATACTAGTTATTCCAGCGCTTGTTTTGAATATGTCAAAACTCCTCAAGTAAAATTTAAAATCTAATCTTTTTTCTTTGACAGGGTGAACATTAACTGTTGTTATATACAGTATAGACTGGTATTTTATCCAATATTGGACATTGTGTATACACTGAAGAGGAACACATTTATTTAAAGGGTAGTCACATTTCTTGTGTAAAGCTTTTGTAAAAACACAAACACACGATTTTGTGTACTTTTTATACTGTTCCATCTTGAAAATGACGCTTAGAAAAACAACACAAACGGAGAGGAATGGAACATGCGTAGAATATGAGGGGACCTCTCATTTAACAAATAATTCTCTATAAGAGAAAATTAGAGGAATGTTGAATCATTTGATGACTCTTCACTCAGATGTTTGTAATCTTGACCGAATAACTTTTTTTTTTCTTCAAGATGATGAAATGATATTGAAATAGGTAATGTGTAAACATTCTGGTCTTTTCTAATAAAAGCAATTCATATACTGTTATAAGTCTGAAACCTTTATGATAAAAAAATCTCGCTTATTACACTACTAACGATATACTGATTGCATAAAAAACCCACAAAATTAAAACCACATTTTTTGATCTTCAGAGTTTATCTTTAAGCCTAACCATGCGCATATGACAGATTTGAAAATGCTTTTACGAATGACGATTCGAGGCATAATTTTTCGTCTTCAAAATCTAAGTAATAGCTTATTATAATCATTCTCCATCGGTACAATATAACAACTAGCACTGAGTGGTGCAAACCAGTGTTTCATGTGCATCGAATAGGTAGAACAAACTACAACATCTGTTTTACTGATTCTCATATTTATATCGTATTCGTTTTCTATTTACTACACACAACTTCTACATTCTTAATTATAAACAGCTGAATCCAAATAATGAAACATAGCTTACACAACGGTTCCTTTCTTAAGTAGAAAGTTTCTTGAACAATTATAATACACAAATAAAACACTACACTAAATTTTCATTCGCTAAGTACTTTTTGGTAGTTTTCTTCTCTAAGGGTTATGGTATGCAGAAGGGATGGCCTAATAACCCTTATAGTCACGTGCTGTCCTGTTCTTCCTTGATAGGTGGTCGAGTAAATTCATTGACGGCTCTATCCTTGGTGATCCTTACGAAGAGGTCTCGACAATAACCCTGGACTTTTCAACGGGTTGCCTTTTTGCTGGGAAATTCTTTTCTGAAGTTACTTAGCTAACCATCCCCTCGTCAAAGATCTAATCAAAGATCCCTTTTAAAGCCAAAAAGAATATTAAATCATACATTGGGTTTGACAAAGTTTCAGACTGAAGGGCTATGACCTAATTTATATAAGTTTAGTATTAACTCTCAAGACAACAATACAATACCAGATTTAATACTTTCATAGGTCAATACTCCTAGAAAGTTTTAATTTAGCTCTGAGATAATTAACTCTGGTTATGTTCCACGGCCTATTGCCCGACAGATGCCTGTGGTGTTTAAGAATTTATGTGGAAATGAACTGAAATTGAATTATTTTGAGTCAAAATACGCAACAGAAAATCACATTTTTCTTCAAAACACTGAACTAGTCTTCCTAGATTAAATATGAAACAAACATAAACCAGTTAAAGGTTAATGACTACTATTTGATACCCTGTGAATGTCGGGTCAGAAACATCGAAAGGGGTCTCGTTTTGGTCACTAAAACCAAACATGTAGATAAAAATACAGAAATTGTTGAAACTTGTAACAGCTAGAAAGGCGCGAAATTTTTAGTATATTGGTTGGAATGAAAATTAGTCTAGAAATATACAAACAAATTTACAATCTAAAATCAAAGTTAAAGAAGAGCGCATTTCATGTGAAGGATATGACAATCTTACACATCCATCACTGGATATCACAATCTTACACATCCATCACTGGATATCACAATCTTACACATCCATCACTGGATATCACAATCTTACACATCCATCACTGGATATCACAATCTTACACATCCATCACTGGATATTCATCTTACATCCATCACTGGATATCCATCTTACATCCATCACTGGATATCCATCTTACACATCATCCATCACTGGATATCACATCTTACATCCATCACTGGATATCCATCTTACATCCATCACTGGATATCTCTCTTACATCCATCACTGGATATCCATCTTACATCTATCACTGGATATCCATCTTACATCCATCATCCATCACTGGATATCACAATCTTACACATCCATCACTGGATATCCATCTTACACATCATCCATCACTGGATATCACAATCTTACACATCCATCACTGGATATCCATCTTACATCCATCATTGGATATCACAATCTTACACATCCATCACTGGATATCCATCTTACATCCATCATCCATCACTGCTTCGTCTTCCAAAAATGAACATAGCTACTTTACAGCAAAGTTCAAATTTCAACTTGTAAGTTAACCCTAACATTAATGAAAAAAATAGCAGGATGGAAAATAAACAACACGAGTTATATATTTCCCGAGAAAGATTATGTCCATAACCCTCTAATGTCCATTTCGAATATTTAATTGATATATTTTTTCGTGGTTACTTCTCATCCTTACCGACCCGGCATGACCAGGTGGTTAGGGCGCTCGACTCGTAATCTGAGGGTCGCGGGTTCGAATTCCCGTCCAACCAAACATGCTCGCCCTTTCAGCCGTGGGGGCGTTATAATGCGACGGTCAATCCCACTATTCGTTGGTAAAAGAGTAGCCCAAGAGTTGGCGGTGGGTGGTGATGACTAGCTGCCTTCCCTCTAGTCTTACACTGCTAAATTAGGGACGGCTAGCGCAGATAGCCCTCGTGTAGCTTTGCGCGAAATTCAAAACAGACATCCTTACCGCTTAAATTCACTTCTGTATGTATGTATATTTTGAAAACTTCAGCTATCGGTATATCATACAAGTATTACAGGTTCCATTAATAATATATAACTTGTTTTCTTATATATCATCATGAAAATGGTTTACAAATATCAACATGTTTTGCAGAGTTTTATTGATTCTTTTGGATACTTGCACAAGGTTATACAAGGACTGTTAGTACTATGTGTCCCTAATTTTAAACTGACAGATTAACTGGAAAATAGGTAGTCAACAGCATCCATCGCAAACTGTTGGGTTACCCTAATGGAACAGTGGATTTTAACTGTCACTCTTATATCGCACTCACAGTACCAATAATGTAGAACGCTAATGGGATGTGATCTATACATCCTCGGATTCATAGCTTGGTACACTAATAGCTAAACCACGCTCGGTTCGTTTTGTAAGGACATGATTTCTTCTACAAATATATTTATTTTTTCAAAAGTTCTCTGAAAATATTTGTCAAGCCATCATCAGCCATCCTGTCAGTAACTTATCTATTTGTTTATTCTGTTTCTCACACACCTATTCAGTCACCATTTATTCACCTCAAATAGCTGGAGAATGAAACGGATATTCGTGTTTTTTCATACCAAAACACACTCAGGTTGAAGTGCCTATAGATTTCTATACAATCAAACTATTGAGACGAGTATTGGGAAACTTTAGTCCTTTACACTAGTTGGATTATGGATAACATGCAGCGAGGAGTGATGAGCTTTGGAAGTGATAGAAATTTCAAATCGAAACTACGCTGCTAAGATAATGAAAATATGCACTATCTTGTCAGACAGAAAATGACCAGATGTGGCGACATGGACTGTAACAACGTGGTGAGGCTCCATAATCGTTTTAACATAACGTACTCAAACTCTGTAAAACTACTGAAATCGGGGCAACATTTCTTAATTGTTTTTCGCTATCTCCACGTGGACATAAAAACAACTATTATTTCTTCAGTATCTGAAGTGTATTTTAAGAAACCTTTCCACTTTTATTTGACATACATTGATCACTTAGTAAAATTTAGAGCTTTAATATACGTTGATTTATTTTTGTCAAACAGGAAACCCAAAAGGAAAGATACCCCAAGTCGGTAATTTTTATCGTTGGAAACGAGTTCTGTGAGAGGTTCTGTTACTATGGCATGAAAGGTAATAATTTAATTATATCTCAACACACGTTTACAGAACTCTTTTTTTTACCTTTACCTACCTTCTAGTTCAGAAATGTTTTTTTTCATATCACAGTATAATTTTACTCTTTTATTTACCCAAAAATATTATCCATAAATCATATGGAAAAAGGGGCATTAATACGTACCACTTAAACAAACATAAAAAAACAATAAAAAAGGACTTTGAACCATCCTATTTTGCTGAAGAAATAACAAAGATTAGGAATTAAAAATCACATTCAGGATTCTCTTATATCAGTATAAGTTAAAAGATAATAAATGCATATGATAGTCGTTTGGTCTTTTACTTGCAAACTGTTATTTTCTAATGCTTCATAATTCTATATCTGTATACGACAATTAACAGGTTATTGCAAGGCAATACCACTTTAACACTTGCCATTGTATTCTAACGCAAGAAAGATACCTTAGCATAGAACAAGACTGCTTTGACAATCCATACAGCCAAGTAGATAGTTTATAAGATGTGGGAATTATCCACCAGTGACGTGGGAAGTTGGGGGTGACACTTTTCAATATGTCCCACTAAAAATGATTCAAAATTACTCTCAAGAAAAGTACATAAAACATAATACAGAACCCCAGAGCAACCTGAACCCTGGCCATAATGGGTGTGTGTCTGTAGCACACATTCCCTCGCTTTGCTCGGTCAAATAAACCTTGCCCCTTCTCACGTCTGTCCAACCATTAAAGATTTATAAAGTTTCTCAGATGTTATAAAAATTAAATAGCAATTGGAGTTTAGTGTTTCTCAAGTTAATATTTACCTGCTGTAATTTTTTTCATGCAACAGTTTGTTTGGAATAGATTTCTGTTCGTTGGAATTTTTCATACCAAAACTATTATGCTACAGTTTACTGACCTCCCTAAATCTTTTTTTCCTGTTTGAACTCCATGGATGAAAAGAAATGCTTAAATTTTGTGTGTTGTACTGAGTACAATTCCGTTCTAAAAATTAAGTTTTCACCGATATTACGAAATATATGTTTGTTTTTGACAAGGCTACTAAGGCTATTTTCGACCATCCCTACTTTTTAACTGCCGAATAGAGGGTAGGCAACCGGGCAATAATACCCGCCACCAATTATTAGCCTAATCTTTATTAATGAATAGTGCGATTAACCGCCACATTATAGCGCCTCCGCAGCTGAATGGGTGAGCATGCTCGGCTCCGGATTTCGAGCCCGTGACCCACACATTGTGACTCGAGTGACCTAACCAGGACTATAACGTTATTTCGAGAATAGTTTATATTGTTTCTTTAACTTGGATTATATTCTCATTTTTAATTTCTAAAACGACCTTTAGGACTTCCTGGCCAGTTTGAATTTACTGCCAAATGCTCATTTACAAGCATAGGCTGAATGACCAATCACTTGCTTCTCTGATCACTTGGCGAACCACCACAAGCTAGAACATGAATTGAGTGGGTGGGGTGATCGAGATCGTTTTGTAACAGTGGGCTTGTCTTGTCATAGACACAATATTACAATCTCCAGCGTGCAATGTACTTCAGTTTTGATGTAGCCATTGTTAGAATAATTTTGTATTACTTTACGTTGCTGGGAGTCTGTTTTGAACGTAACCACCAACTTTTATTTCAGCTGTGTTAACCTTGTACTTGACAATGGTTCTTCTTTATGACGAAGACACAGCCACCATGATCTACCACACCTTCTCAATGGGTTGTTACTTCACGCCTCTCTTTGGTGCTATGTTGGCTGATTCCTTCCTTGGGAAGTTCAAGTACGTATTCGTATTGAAACTCAGTTATTACTTACTTCTGCAACTGTCATTGAATCAATAAAACATTCTTCTAAGTTATCTATCCACCAAATAGCTTGTGAATCAATGTCTTTATTGTTATTAACAGCATCCCTAATAATGTATGGGTCACGCACAAGAAATTAAACAGTCAATCCCATTAATTATTGTAGGGGTTTCCTACGTATTTTTCAAACAAAATGAGTGACTGCAGTCAATGTTTGTTTGTTTTTTTTTGCCACTTTTTGTTCACTGAGTGTTGTGAAGTAACAAAAAACAAAATGTTATTGAGTGTGATACGATGTGAGTAACTCAGGGGTAATGAACGGTGTGTAAACAATTGGTAATTTAAGGTTTAAAATATACGAACTAATAACGTTTAGGAATTTAGAAAATATATCATTAAATCCAAAATTATAATATTGTTTTACTACAGACTTCACATACAGTTTGATTTTGCTGTTAAACAACAGGATATAATTTTCAGGAAGAGGCCATTTTCAACAGCAGGTTTATTTGTTTGTACTTAAGCACAAATCTACACAATGGGCTATCTGTGCTCTGCCCACCACTGGTATCGAAACCCGGTTCCTAAAGTTGTAAGTCCGTAGACATACCGCTGTGCCACCGGGGGCCGTTGAGCTGCAGGAACTCGTATGCAGGTGAGGGTTAGGTGTCAGTGATATAGATTTGTTTTACCAAAACGAATAAGTATACGTTAATTCATCTATGTTTTGCTTGTTATTATTTGATCGAACCAAAGGTTCAAAATTGAGCCACAAGACCTTATCTACTTCAAAAAATCAGTGTTAGTCCAAATTACACCTTTTTGTAACTAACGGACATTATTGGGCCAATGAGTATTGTCTGCAACCGAAAACTTATATTGGTCAAGAAACTCTTGTCCACTTCATGAAGTCGGTGTTACATCAAAATACGTCTTTCAAGATAAGGGTCAAGGTTTGACCTGCAGTTTCTAACCATCGTTTGAAGCTTCACACTCGGATTCTTCCATTGATAAGGCCTAGCAAAATAAAGTCTTATAATCATGTGTTCATGGGAATTTTACACGTCTAACCATTGTGTAATAATGACCTTATCAAAACACCGTAGGCCCGGCATGGCCAGGTGGTTAGGGAGCTCGACTCGCAATCTGCGAGTCGCGGGTTCGAATCCCTGTTACACCAAACATGCTCGCCCTTTCAGCCGTGGGGGCGTTATAATATGACGCTCAATCCCACTATTCGTTGGTTAAAAAAGTAGCTCAAGAGTTGGCGGTGGGTGGTGATGACTAGCTGCCTTTCTAGTCTTACACTGCTAAATTAAGGGTGGCTAGCGCAGATAGCCCTCGTGTAGCTTTGCGCGAAACTCATAACAAACAAACAAAACACCTTTTGCTATTCTAAGTTACCTGATAGACCTGAGTCGTGTGATTTATATATATATATATCAAAATCATTTCTTCTGCCTACATACAATTAAGAAGTATGTTTGTGAAGTGGAAAAACGATCTCTGTATTTTATATTGCTGATGAAGAGTAACTGTAAACAAGGGGAAAACTTGAATTAGTGTATCTGTCATCAAGTCTGCTCGTGCATTCAGTTAGATAGGTTGGCATTTCAGCCTATGATAGTCCTAAGCAAGTCTTATATGATTTATGAAAACTGGACTTTTCATTTTACTTTCTGGTTCTCACGTTATCTTTATAATAATATATAATTTAAATATTTTATTTTTGAACAATTCTACTCTGCACGCAAACTCATTCATTGTAGTTAATTACCATTTCCTAAACAAAGAACCCCAAATAATAATCAAAATCCGACGAGACTTTGCCAGAATGTGCGAAATGGCATTTCACGTACAATATTCTTAGGTACACTGACTTCTTAGAGGTAAGTTAGTAACCGCTCTAACAGGAGGTTTGGCTGGAAATGTACGGCAGAGATTGAATTCTGGATTTTATTAACGGGAGAGATTAGATAACAGGAAATAAAACATTTAATTTATTTATGAGCACAGGACAAGATATGCAACAAAACCAACTCGGTCAGAGATGTTGCACTTCTTTCATCATAGAATGCTGAGAAAGATCTCATGTAGACTGAGAAAATTAGCTACTTAATATACAAAGGGTTAACTCTTTGAAAATATATTGTAACCAACGTCATGTGGTCACTCAGATTAAGAGAGGTAGGAAAGACTTCTACATTTGTCTGATGTGGCAAGAAAAGTCGTTAAGTTAAGCCTAAAGGATTTAACTAGTAACACCAACCATATGATGAGCTACTAATACTAAATGGGATAAGACATGATTACGTGTGAGTGGTTCAAGCATAAGACAAAGCAGTTAAAAACCCTTTAATCGACACACTGTATATTAACACATACGTCAACGCGTGTAAGTGTAAAACAACTTGAACATACTGTGAACAATTAAATGTTTATTGAGCTTTCAAAGCCAAAAGAATTAGAAATGTGTTTTTTTGTGTGTGTGTTTTTTCGAGTGTCGTTCACGTAAGAGTATTTATGCCATTATTTATAGGATGAAATAAGTGAGTACTATACCTTGAGGAATTAACTTGGAGTTACTTTATTAAATTAACCATTTGTATTTCAAAATTCTTATTTTTACGTTCAATGCTCCAGCGTTTTCAGCTTCTAAAAAGTAACTACACTGAACAAAGTCGGCTTCTAGTTCTAATTCGTCTCATAAAGATTTCAAAGAAGGCGCTCAACTGCCAAATTTCAGGGTGAACATTAACTGTTTTTATATACAGTATAGACGACTCACAGTAGTCAAAAATTGTAACAAGAACCAAATTTCAGGGTGAACATTAACTGTTTTTATATACAGTATAGACGACTCACAGTAGTCAAAAATTGTAACAACAACCAAATTTCAGGGTGAACATTAACTGTTTTTTATATACAGTATAGACAACTCACAGCATTCAAAAATTATAACAAGAATGTTTTTATATACAGTATAGACGACTGGTAATGTTACTTTAAATATATTTAGTTTGGGTAATTTATACTTATCTGATATAGGTAATGAAACAATGTGAGTTGATAGTATCATTAAGCACGGTAGTAGTTAATAGTAGCCTCCCAGTGGCACAGCGGTATGTCTGTGGACTTACAACGCTATTAACCGGGTTTCAATACCCATGATGGGCAAAGCACAGACAGCCCACTGTGTAGCTTTCTGCTTAATTACATACAAAGAAACAAACACAATTTGATAGTACGGATCGACAAGGGAAAAAATGCCTAGAGCAAAAACAACTAATACAGGTCTGCGAATTTAAACTTCATAAAAGGTGTTCTGGTTTTAATAACGGATTTTACATAATTCAGCTACGCAGATTTTGAAAATAATATTATGTTTTTCTATCACGTAAAACTTTTTTACAAATCGGGAAGAAAAACTCTTACTAAGATCAAATTTACAACAAACTTACCACAAATATATCATAATGTGTTTGGGTCACTTACGCAACCTCTTGTTGCCATAGCGACGAATGAATAATATTGAAAATAAAAAATACTG